GGATTGTAGGTGGGGGGAGTGAATGTACAGCGCTCTCTCCCACCTTCAATACCACGACTGAGGTGCCCTTGAGCAAGGCACCGAACCCCCAACTGCTCCTCGGGCGCCGCAGCATAAATGGCTGCCCACTGCTCCGGGTGTGTGTTCACGGTGTGTGTGTGCGCACTTTGGATGGGATAAATGCTGAGCACTAATTCTGAGTATGGGCCACACGTCACTTATTTCTTTTTGAAATTTGGTGACTATTTCTCATTCAGGGTCACGAGTGTGCATGCAAAGTTTCGTCACATAGTTGTGGTGATGATAGTGGTGTTAGGACCCCCATTTATTTCCATCAGATCTACACTTTGAAAAAAAGCAAAGAGTCAGGTAAAACAGACTAAAATATGAAATACATGATAACTTATGGCATTCAAGACTCAAAAATTGAGAATTTGCTGTTCTTGGAGTTTCTCAGTCAAAAAAAAAATCAGTGAAATTATGTTTTTTGGTTGTTAGTTTTTTTTGGGATCTCTATTACTAGTCTGTTGCATCACTGAAAAAAAGCGTGAGAAATCCATTTTACCCTCACAAGCTTTGAGAACCAGACATAAAGGCAGAGGCTATTTACACAAGTACATAAAGCAATAAATACTATTATTAGATACAATTTAGACTTAGTTATATTCATTTGTAACTCAGTGTGCAAATAGTCATTGCAAGCAGTCATGACAAAAAAAACATCATAGAAATATTTTCACTTTTGCGTCTGTGCAGCTAATTTTGAACATAAAATATGTGGGTAAAAATGACCCCAAACACAATAGAAGTTCATAATTTCTCATATTTTATTTTTTTTAGTCTCTGATAAGGTGCAATAGAGGTTTTTCAAACAACTCCAGCAGAACCACAGTGTGTTCAGCAGCAACGACAGAGCCAGTCTCATCCACGACATCTTTCAGCTGGTCAGGTGAGGGAACTGAACTTGTGTTCCTTAAAGGAATAGTTCACCCTGCTCTGAAAATCTGCTCACCCTCATGCCATCTAAGATGTAGAGCCATCTAAGATGTAGATCATCAGATTTGGAGAAATGTAGCATTGTGTCACTTGCTCAGCAGTGGATGCTTACCTGCCAGAGGAGGTGGACTGGATTAAATTCAACGTGGACCTGCGGGGGTATTATATTGTACATTATGAGTCGAGAGGTTGGGATGCTTTGATCAAACAACTCCAGCAGAACCACAGTGTGTTCAGCAGCAACGACAGAGCCAGTCTCATCCACGACATCTTTCAGCTGGTCAGGTGAGGGAACTGAACTTGTGTTCCTTAAAGGAATAGTTCACCTTGCTCTGAAAATCTGCTCACCCTCATGCCATCTAAGATGTAGATGAGTTTGTTTCTTCATCAGATTTGGAGAAATGTAGCATTGTGTCACTTGCTCAGCAGTGGATGCTCTGCAGTGAATGGGTGCCGTCAGAATGAGAGTCCAAACAGCTGATAAAAACATCACAATAATCCACACCACTCCAGTCCATCAGTTAATGTCTTGGACTCTCATTCTGACGGCACCCATTCACTGCAGAGGATCCATTGGTGAGCAAGTGATGCAATGCAACATTTCTCCAAATCTGATGAAGAAACAAACTCATCTTGGATGGCCTGTGGGTGAGTACATTTTAAGTTTAATTTAAATTTTTGGGTGAACGATTTCTTTAAAGAGAACATAAAACAGCACTTGCAGTGCATTTCTTTCCTGTATTATGACATATTTTGGAGTAAAACAGAATATTCAGTGGAAAACTATCCATATGCATTTGATTGGGCAGAAACAGAAAGTATTTAGTCACACAAGTCACACTTAAATCGTCTGAATGTCATTGCATTAAAATGTATCAAATCAAGTGTCATTTATGGTAAAGAAAGATGCAGAAACACTTTCAAGCACAACATTTGACAAAAGAAGTTTGTGATAAGTTTTGTAGACACCTGTGTGAACTTGAGGAGAGCTTACTTCAGTTCATACATCCGCTAAAAATCACCAAAACACCAGCTGATGCAAAGACTTCATAAATGGAGAAAAGTGAAGAGTGAAGAGAAAAATCCTGCAGCATTTGAACACAAACAACACTTGATTTGACTTGATTTAAGATTGACGTTCAGTCATTAAAAATCGTGTTGCTGTCATTGCAGACAGTTTACTTTTGTTCTTAATCAAGTGTGTTTGTCTTTCCTTCAGTGTTGAGAAAGTGCCGCTGGATAAAGCTCTGAATCTGAGTTTGTACCTCAGTAAAGAGTCGGAGATCATGCCGGTGACGCAGGGCTTTAATGAGCTGGTGCCCTTTTACAAACTCATGGAGAAGAGAAACATGGAGGAACTGGAGAACCAGCTGAAGGTTGTGGTTGCAAACATGGTTACGTCCACTTAAAGATGACGTGTGTAATATTTAGGATCTTAAAGGGGTCCTATTATGCAGAAAATTAAATATATAGTGCTGTCGATTAATCGCATCCCAAATAAAAGTATTTGTTTACATAATATATGTGTGTGTACTATGTATATTTATTATGTATATAAATACACACACATGCATGTATATATTTAAGAAAAATAAGTTGTTTATATCTTAAATATATTTATATATAATATAAATTATATGAATATAAATATATACATGTAAATATTTTCGAAATATATACATGCATGTGTGTGTATTTATATATACAGTACATAATAAATATACACAGTACACACACATATATTATGTAAACAAAGACTTTTATTTTGGATGCGATTAATCGCGATTAGTCGTTTGACAGCACTAAAAATATATTTAGACAAGCTGTTGTTGATTTGCTTTTCTAACAGAATCATTTAGTGAAGATATTCAAGACACTGATTGACCGTCAGAACTGGTCTGATGAGGGGTCTGTATCCGAGCGGATGCTCAGGAATTATCTGCTGTTGTTCGCCTGCGTCCGTCGTTACCCATCCTGCATCAGCACCGCCACTCGACTCTTCCAGCAGTGGAAAGAATCCGATGGCAAAATGCGGTGAGAGTTCGTTAGTTTGATCTACATGGCGTCCACATCGAACATACTGCAGACTGTCTTCATTCATTCAAACATATGCTTTATGTCGTTTGCTTCAGGCTGCCCACTGACGTCAGTTTGGTGGTCTACACTGAAGGGGCGCGTACAGACGAAGGCTGGGACTTCCTGTTGGAGAAATACAAGCGGGCCGTCTCGCCATCGGAGAAGTGGATGATTAAAGCCGCCCTCTCTTACAGTCCATTAGCTCACAAGCTTCAGTGGTGAGTCTGCATTCATGAAGCAGCTGAGACGTCACGTGACATTTTCATAGTTCACCCAAACCATGAATCATTAAGGAAGGTCAAACTGTTTGGCATGTTTATCGGAAAAGTCATTAAAATGCCAAAAGCATGATTAATTTCTCACCTTTTCGATTCTCAACGATCTTGAGTCAGTTAAACCTGCTCTAGAATGTGTTTTGCTTTCTCGTTCTGTCTAGGCTTTTGGAAAGAAGCATTGAAGGAGAGATCATAAAAACACAAGACGTGCCATCGCTGGTCATCAGCGTCAGTAAAAACCCAAAAGGTTTCAAACTTGCCTGGGACTTCCTGAAAACCAACTGGGGGAAACTTGTGAAAAAGTGTGTAGCTAATATCTGTGTCCGAAACATTATGAATTGCTTTATATCTACCTACAGTCACGTTCTTATTTCATGGTGCTTATGACACATTATAGCATGTTAGATTGTGAATGTTAATGGTGTATTAAATCCAAATGCTCCTTTTAGGTTTGATCTCGGTTCATCTGCCATATCTCGCATGGCGGTCGGAGTGACCGATCAGTATTCCACCAGAGAAATGCTCGATGAGGTACTTTAGATTCATTCTTTCTAAACGTATGAATGCAAATTGAGCACCTATTGTCCAAAAAATACAAAATAAAATACAGTTAAGATATTGAACCATTGCATTAATTATAGTCCATTTCTACCTTAAAACATTGAGTACTGCTTTACAGTAAGGTTTCATTAGTTAACTACATTAGTCAACATGAACATAAAGAATTCTGAGAAAAAAAGTTGCAATAAAAAAATTTTTATTCCATGGCATAAACAAGCTTCCATACTAACATCAACAAACAATGAAAAATTATATTGTTTACTAACATTAACAAAGTAATCTTTAATTACTTAAAAATATAAATGCTTAAAAATATATATTGTTCATTTTTTAGATCATGTTAGCTAATGCATTTACTAATGTATTGTTAACAATATTTTTATTCCCCACCAAATATTTGATGATTGAATTTGAGAAATATTTATATATTTTGAGAAATATGTGCACACAGTTCTATTCTATATTACAGTGGTTATTTTTCATGTTGTGAACATGTTGAGGTCACATGAGCTGACATAAATCATGGGTGAAAGGTTAATGGCATATATGTAAACAAAAGCGTTTGCATTTGCGCTGATTGGTGTCAGTAGAATTCTAAGAGCACTTGTTTGTGTTGTTCCTGTAGGTCCAGTCTTTCTTCGGGTCACTAGCACAGGATCAGGGCTCTGGGCTCCGCAGCGTTCAACAGGCCCTGCAGAAGATTCAGCAGAACATCCGCTGGATGGACGGGAACGTCCCACTACTGAAAGCCTGGCTGGACAGAAACAGTCTATGATTGAGTCCTGACAAACTCTAGAGACTCTTGAAAGTGTGTTTAACAGGGTGTGGAACTCAAGACTGCACCTTGGGTACGGCTTTTTCCAAGGACCTTAACACTGGAAGAAACCAGCTCTGATATCATGTTGAACATGAACATTTGAAATGGCTGGAACAAAAAGCATCTAAAGTTTTGAATATTAATGCAAAATATCAACTCAGTGATGCACCAAAATTAAAGGAGTAGTTCACTTCCAGAATTAAAATTTCCTGATACTTTACTCTAGTCTTTCTGTCTTCAGTCGCAAAGAAATGAAGGTTTCGGAGGAAAACATTCCAGGATTGTTCTCCATATAATGGACTTCAATGGGGACCAACGGGCTGAAGGTCCAAACTGCAGTTTCAACCGGAGTACACAGACGAAGATCTAACCGTGCGCGACCTTTCCAACGTGATTACGTCATGTGCGAGTTTATGGAAGTGCATCGCGGAGCTAGTGCAAGACGACCATTTGTGGTTAAAATATAAGTTTGTATTTTTTTTTAAGAAAATGACTGATCGTTTCGCTAGAAAGGACCCTTATTCCCCATATAAAGAGTTGGTCCCCATTGAAGTCCATTATATGGAGAAAAATCCTGGAATGCTTTGCTCAAAACCCTTCATTTCTTTGCGACTGAAGACAGAAAGACTAGAGTAAAGTATCAGGAAATTTTAATTCTGGAAGTGAACTAATCCTAAAACCGAAAATGAAGTGTTCCTTTAGCCAAGAAAAAAACTAAACCAAAAATACGTTTTATTTATCAAGGCAGATTTTGTATGAGCCTTTTAATGATATAATTATATTTCTATTCCAATTGGCTGTTGAAATATAAATGTGGCTGTAAAAAGATTTTAATGACAGGTTTATTCTAACATACATTAAATAATAAAGACAACAGGTCTAATACTCCTCTCTAGATTTATTTTTTCTAATCGAGGGTTGTTTTGAAAATTAAAGAGAAAAAGATATATAAAATTTTTTTTGATTTACTTCTACATATGTGCATTTTTACTACGTCTGAATAGGAATCGATAAATGAAAACAATGATAATAGAATTTAAATTTTTAGGTGAACTACCCCTTTAAATTTGCTGAGGTAAATGTAATGTTACGTGACTTGTTTACAAGCTGATTGATCGATTACATGAGACATTTTGGAAAGTTTTTCTTTCAGCATAATTTCTGATGTTCATTCATGTTTATTGAGCGTGTTGTAACTAGTGAAGAGGAAGAGAGGATCGTTTCACGAACCGCTTGAACGGAGGCGCTACAGCGATTTAGCACGATTTTCTTTAAAAAGTTGAGAAATTTGAAGCTCAGACTTAGTTTCATATCAAAAGTAACAAATCTTATTGCTATGAAGATCGATAAAAATCCACAAGTCGAACTCGATGGTGCCGACATCTTCATTTTCAGTTGCCGAAATTCGGTGCATCACTAAAAGAAACAGGAACCTTTCTTTGTGACACCCAGACATTGTTTTTATGTCTAAAATGAAAGAAACCGGTTTAATAGCTTTTTTGTGGATTTTATTGACATCCTTTCAGAAACCACAAACACTCATTGTACTAGTAAATGTATGGTCACGTTTATGGCGGCATTAAAAATGATTTTATTATTAATTGTCAAAAACAATGAAAAGAAATCACATGGTTGAACATATAAATTACATATTTACATACCAGCATGTAAAAAGTTTTTAAAATGGCATAAATATAGCTTAAAAGGCAATTAAATTTGTAGGCTCTCTCTAACCTGTAACTGATCACAGCTTGATTTATACAGACATACTAGTTATCAAGAGTTCAAACCACCCACCTGGTAAAGTTATTTGGTGCAGTATTTTACCCACTAAGAAAAAACTCATTAAAAAACAAACACGCAGTACTGAAACACCAACAAGTTCATGTTAAACCTGTAACAGCTAATTGGACATTTGCAACAACAACAACAAAAAAAACTACAGAACTGATGAGGATTTAGTCATTAGTTAAACCTGATTTTAAAAGTGGTTCATGAAGGATTCTGGGAAAATATTGCACTGAGCAATACAAATCAGAATGCCTTGAATATTTACATGCACTATCAATCAAATGTCCAGAAAGCAACACAGCCCAGCTCACGAGTGGCAACGACCCACACATCTGGACAGACGCCAACACATCTGTGCCGTCACAATACTGTCCAGAAGCTCGCTCTTCTCTAATGTGATGGGAATGATCTTCAGGACCTCCGGTCGTAATCGCTGACCATTCTTTTGATGTGGCTTAGTTTGGCCTTCAGGTGCTTGCAGCGCTTCTTCTTCAGCAGGTAATCGCCACTCTGCAGAGACAGTGGGAAATGCATCAGATAACATCCTCCACTATTGTTCGTTTCTGTGAGAAATCTTGGATTCAGCTCATTCTTACCCTCTTTTTGTCTTTCAGCGCGTTGTACTCGTCCATGGCGTCCTGTTACGAGAGAATGACTGAAGTCAGCAACAAGCGCAGTGACTCATGCTAACGTTAATTATTCACAAACACAGCGTAACCAACAGGAACTTTCCATCGGAAGGCAAACGAGTCATGCAATAATGGGAGAATCTTCCAAAACGCAAGTCATATTTCAACTCAAAATTAAAAGAAAAAAAAAAGGGGGGAAAAATAATGTATTTGAATTGACATTTATATTTTTATAATCATTATAATAATTCAAATTATTGTAAAACAATTAATATTAATTTAGATAAGTAATATTAAATAAGTTATGTTATTATTATTAAATTAATAGTAATAATAATAATCATAATGAGAACTATAATTGAATCTAGAAGACTTTTCATGCCAGGAACTGAGGAATATCATTTCAAATTGTAATTTTTTATTTACACATCATAATAATATTTCTTGTACTGCGTTTATGCTAATTTAATAATAATAAATATTTAATAAGTTATATCAATTAATAACAATAAATACTAATAATTTAATCAATTACATTTAAATGATATTTCTTGTACTCCTTATGCTAATTTTATTAATAATAATAATAATTAGTAGTAGAAGTATGTTGTTGTTGTTTAAATTAATTTTTATAATTCTTTTATTACAATACTAATAAAAAAATAATGATAATATTCCGATACTTGTTAATTCTCAGTAATGACAATTCATGATAATTATCATTGAATCTAGAAGACTTTCATACCAGGATCTGAGGACTATTATCTTGAATTTTATTTTAGAATTTAAATGGACTTTTTTTTTTTTTTACACTTCATAATCAAATTTCTTGTACTGTCTTTATGCTAATTTAATAAAAAGAATAATAAATAATGACAATATTCCGGTACTTATTCATTCTCGGTAATGAGAACTATTGAGAGTCGTCGCTGAATCTTTTCATACCAGGAACTGAGGACTGCCCTCCTGCAGGTCATCCAGCTCCCGGTCCACTTCAGCCAGACGCTTGTTGATCTGGTCCATTTCTGCCTGGAGCTCCTTGTACTCCTGATGGTCTTCGTCAAACAGGCGCTTGTAATGTTCTCTCTCTTCATTATTAATAATGGGAGGGAATTCACTGGAAAAACAAAACCACATGCATCTCATCTCGAATGCCAGTGTACCTTATAAACCCAGAGCAGTGAACTCACCTGGAGAAGTCATCGTCGTCCAGCTCATCTCCAGAGGAGGCGTAGTCCGTGTCGTGATCCCGTCCGTTGGCGGTTCGCGGGCGTCCAGCGCGCCGTTTCTTGGGCCGTCCTGCAGAGCTGTTCATCTCTGATCCGCTGCTCAGCAGGACTGAACTACGGACGGGCACATTGTGCTCAATCTCCCTAAACATCACAAACATGAGCAGACATTTGACCCATAAATCATGCAAACGTCAAATGCACAAAGACACAAGCAATTAGCTCATAACCACAACGCAGGGCAGATTACATGAGACCTTGTTTTCATTCCTCCACTGTGTCGTCATTCTTTCTACGGTGTGCTAGGCTACTTCTGAGATGAAGTATGCATAGCTGAGGTATTCGTCATGCTGTTTAAACTGGCACAATGGTCACAGTGAGTCTCCAGAACGCACATCATTTTCAGAAATGATTCAGATCCGAGAGGAACACAGAAACGAGGAAGTGAAAGAATGTGTAAACTCCCTTTATCTCAGTAACGTCGCACAATGCGGTTTCTGCACGACCTGTTCTGTAACTCTGTCCACTTTCATTTCCTTTCAAGCAACTTGCAGAATTTTTCATTTGACAAAGTTTCAAGTGTCATGCTGAACAACTATCAAACGGTGATGAAGGACAGCATCATAATGAACTAAACTAAAGTTAACTAAACTTAGAATTTTAAGTCAAGCGCAACATTTATTTTAAATGTAAATGTTTTTAAAGTAAAAACACATTACTTATTCTAATGTTGAATTATAAGTTGTAGGAATTAATCACAGCAATCTTTTTTATTTTTTTTTTATTTTACAGTGATGGCAACTAATATATGCAGATACATTTAAACAAAAAAAACAAAACAAAAAACGCTAAATTGTGAAAAAAAAAAATTGTATTCTAGTTTTTATAATGACCTTTATTTTTGGAAATTCATATTAATTTATTCTACTGTCTTTATGCTAATTTTAATAAGTTGTAGCACAATCAAATGCAACAAATATGTAGATAGATTTGAAAAATTTATCATAAAAATATGAATTTTTAAATATATGTTTTACTTGTATTTTTTTTAACAATTTGTATATTTTTAAATTCAAATTGACACATCATAATCATTTCTTCTATTATTTGTCTTTATGCTAATTTTAATAATAAAAATAATAATGTTGTACCACAATACAGTACAATAAAATGAATGCAATTGTTTTTGAAACAAATTAAAAAAAAATTTTTTTTTTACTAAATTACTAACCAACACTAATCTGCTTACTAAAATTGTATTCCTTTATATAATAATTGTATTCCAGCATGTAGATACACGGAGCATATTGTGACACACAGATCTGAGTAACACACAGACCTTATTTCAACACTTTCAAAACATCAGTATGAACAATCAGTCCCAGAATCAGATTTTTAAAAACAGATCAGAATCAGGTGCATTGTGTTCAAAGCCGAACTCTACGTCACATGCAGAACCGCACAGATGAGATGAGGGCCATACTCACACAGGACTTTCACTGTAAGGAGGTTTGTCATAATTTGTGCTGTTGTCATCTAGCTCATT